GGGGCTGGGAGGGGGTAGGGGTGGGGTGAAGGGAGCTTTGAAGCAGAAGAAAAAAAGGAAGTGGGGGGAGGGAGAAGAAGAAAAGGAAATTGGATCAAATTCAAAATTGTAAAATTTAAAAAATTAAAATTTGGCCCAAATGACCTGCTGGTTACCTGAAAACCGGCTTCAGGTACCATTCGTGAAAGATTTTCAAAGTTCAGAGATTTTTTGAAAGGTTTTGAAGTTTAGGTACTGAATCAAAATTTTTGTAAAAGTTGAGGTACCATTTTTGAAATTTACTCCAAGTTTCTTTGACGTGTGATATCTCAGGCCTTCACGAAAAAGAGGATTTGCGATTGTCATTGTTTGTGATGCTCTCTGTCTCAGCATACCTCCCTCTCCTAGGGCGATTCACATTTAGGTCCGGACTGAACCAGACCGTTAGGTCCAGACCGAACCCGAATCGAATGGATTTCAAATCGTTCTTCGTTCTAGAAAATTTAGGTGTTCAAATTTCGATCCGATCCAGTCCAAACCCGAAATGATTTAGATCCGGACCAAATGAAACTAATAATCCTACTGGACCTAAAAGACCTAAATACTAAAATTCTACTTTTTAAGTTCCATATTACACTTTGTTGTTCTATTTTAATAAATATTTTAATTTACTTATTAAAAAGGTTTTTTATTAAGTAATTTAAAAAAATAAAATAAATATTTCATATTAGTTTTTATGATTCCATATAGAACTAGTTCATATTGTGCATCTATTTTTAGGTTGCCAATTTTTTTATTTTATTCTATTTGAATTGTGCAAAGTAAAAAGTCTAAAATATAGTATTTAATTGATCATAATAATTAAAAAATATGTATTTTTATTCAGTTCAATCAGTCCAGACTGGTTTGGTCCTAAATATTTTAGTCCAGTCTAGTTCAAACCCGAATACAATTAAGTCTAGTCTCCGGTCCGTGATTTTATTCAATTCGGTCTCCGGTCTGGTCTAGTTTGGTCCGGTCTGGGACCG